GCACAGATTGCATCCGAAGGTCACCTGCCTAACCCAAAAGGGATCTAGTAATAGGAAAGCACTGACCATCTCATCAGTAATCAGGAAGGGTCTATGCATCTGCACAATGCAGATCTCATTCTACGACATAGAGAGCGAGACAACTCCCGCCTAGGGGGGTTTAATGTGGTGTGGAGTCTTCCGACTTCAAGTCTTCGAAAAATAGTGGTTTTACTATTTTACATACCACAATCTTCTAATATTGTAGCTATACGCTATTTATAAAGGGTAAACCAGCAAGGCCGAGTCTGCACAAGCAGGGTTTTTGATGCATGCTCAGTCGAGCGATGTAAGGGGAGCCAAGGATCCACAAAGTGACGAGAAGGACTCAAATGGACAAATGCAGTGTCAGGCAAGCATCAACAAGCAATGTACATCCAGGTACATATGAAAATAGCACAAGGTAGTGCAGCGGAAGACTCAAAGATATGACCTGACCTGTCAGATACCAACGCGACACCCCATCATACACCACACGTGTGAAAGAGGAGGGACTGCATACATAGACGAAAGGTCCCTCCTTTCTCACACACATGGGGAGATGCCACGGATGAGGAGATGGGGGGAAGAGGCGAGACGAAGATGGAGACGAGGGAGAAGTCCAAAAATAGTCTCGCTGCGGAATGTCCAATCAATGTCTGCCACAAAATGTCGAATCAGATCCTGGGCCTCACAGCCCGATGTAACCTCTGCCTGTAACCTCTCTCTCTCTCTCTCTCTCTCTCTGAAAGAAGAAGAAGAAGAAGAAGAAGAAGAAGAAGAAGGAGGAGGAGCAGAGGAAAGGAGGAAGAAGGAGAGATGGAGGGCGAGAGCAAGAAGAAGAAGAAGAAGATGTCGTCCTCCTCGCTATCTCACCTGCAGGTAACTGTCGCCATGTACTAACTGTCGCCACATGTCTCCTCTGTGCTGCAGGGCGCTAGCGCGAACACCAGCTATGGCGCCCAGGTAAGATCTCCGCCGACGCAGGTATGGCCTCCACCTCACTCCCTGCCTATCCCTCTACCTCTAGTGTAGCGCTGTCGGGCTGCTTCAGCAGCGTGTCACTCAAGAAGTGAGCTACTTGAACTGTGTGTCTGCCCAGGAGTGGCCCAGCTATAAGTAGCGCTTGGCCTCGCATTGTGTGCCTCTGTGTGCCTCTGGTCCTAGGCCAAAACGTGGCCTGCCTGGGTCCCTACCGGACGTACAGGCCCTCCCTGCTACAGGCCTTGCGGGTGTGCCTCCGTGTGCCTCTGGTCCTAGGCCAAAAGGTGGCCTGCCTGGGTCCCTACCGGACGCCCAGGCCCTCCCTGCAGATGTAGCAGGGAGTGTCCGCAACTGGACAACAACGGACCTGGCCCAACAGGGCCTGCCATTGTCCGTACCAGACCAAAAACGTGGCCTTGTCCGAACAGACCGAAAGTCTGTTTGGATGAACTGCAAGTCCGAAATGACGCCTGAACAGACAAAAATAGGACAGCAAATAAATAAATAAATAAATAAATAAATAAATAAATAAATCCTGCCTCAACTCGAAACCTGCGACCCTAAGGCCAGCCGTGGGCCTCCAGGTCACGTGTCTGAGGTGCGTGCGGCCTGGGCCCCCCCAGCAACCGTCGGCCCCCCAAAATGGGGGCCGTGTGCAGGCTCAGCATGTAATGGCCTCCAGGGCGCGCATCTGAGGTGCGTGTGGCCTGGGCCCCCCCAGAAACCGTCGAGCCCCCAAAATGGGTCCTGTGTGCAGGCTCAGCATGTAACAGCCCCCCCTCCTTATGAATTCAAGCCGGGTCGAGGGCAAACCTGACGATCCGATGGCGGAACCTGGACGCGAGTACGGCGTGGAGCCGAAGGTACCGTCCTGCCTTGTTGTTTGCCTTCGTAACGTGTGAGGATATCGAGGGCTGTGGCCTGAAGTTCTGCACGGGTCAATGGACGGTCAGCCTTATGGCTACAATAAGCAAAGTGTACTAAGTACTCCGTCGGCTTGGTGCCGTAGCGCTGCTGCGAAATGATGTCGCTAACCTCCTGAAACCGTCCATGGAGGGTGGGTCTTGCGATTGTTGCCCCAGAAAGTCGTCGCATTCTGTGGAAATGAAAAGAGCCAACTTTGAGCAATGAAACACCGGGTAGACGGGCAAGTGGGCGGGCACCTGAATGACAAATGATGGTCCTTCGGGTGCGTCACCAGAGGGTGCCACAATGCGCCAAGGCCCCATCCATTTCGGAAGGAGCTTGCGAGAGATATCCTGTTCGAGGCTGAATTCCGCGGCGGAGACCCAAACAAGGTCGCCGGCGCGGAACGGACAAGGAAGACACTGGCGATTGGCCTGCCGGCTCATGCGTTGCTGCGTCTTCAACATCTGGTCGCGTGCCTTGACAAGGAGTTTTTGCATCCGTCAAATGAAAATGAGATCGTCGTCGCTCTCGGTCGGTCGTGGGATGATGGTGTCCAACGGCGATGTGACCGGCGAGCCATGCTCGAACTCAAAAGGCGATATCCCGATAGCTGGATGAATGGATGAGTTGTAAGCCAACTCGACGTCCAGCAGCCGCTCAACCCAATCCTTTTGGTTAGGACGGATGAGAGTGTGAAGAAGAACCTGTGAGGTTTGATGCGCCCTCTCTGTTTGGCCATTGGTTTGTGGGTGGCGAGCCGAACTTGGCTTGAGAGATGAGCCCCATCGTTTGATGAGCGCCAACTATAAGTCCGACATGAACCGAGCGTCGTTGTCGCAATCGATTTCCTTGGGGTAACCCCTTGGTATGAATCCAACCGGCATAAAGAACTTTGGCCAACTCCGGTGCCCTGGCGTGATAGCGACAAGTCCAACTCCGGTGCCCTTGCGGGTCACACACACAATCAAATCGACAAGCACTCGGACAGGCATTCAGACCAGCAAGCACCCACACAAACACAGACTCAGAAAACTTGCAACAAGCGGGAAACTCTGCAAGGCATACATTCCATTGGCAAAACTCAGAAATCAGCGGTGTGTCTCAGTCCGTGTTTGGCAGGTTCTTACAAAGGAGAGATTACTAGTATGTGGTGTCATACGCTTCTTCGTCGTCTTCCCCCTTGTCCTTCCTCCATCTCCGTCCTGGGATCTTGTCTGTGTACTATTACAGCGAGGAGGTCTCTTATTTGTTTGGACCCCTCCCCTTCTAGTGTGAGATTGGATCTGAGTCACATTGTCATTTTGCTTCATTGTCGGTCCTATCTGATCTGAGTCTTTTGCTGTGTCAGATTGTATCTCTTCCTTGTGTTGGTGATCTTTGGACTTTGCATTTCCTTGGATGTATACCGGGCATGCATCATTTCACACTTGAAGAAAGCTTGCACATGAAGGCGAATCTCATCTCAGCAGTTCTATGATTATTCACCGTTATGCGTGACTTGAAATTCTGCGATATGATACTTGGAGTTTCAGCATCTAGGCTGATTTGGCCAACACAACAGCCTGTGGGAATTTGAGTACCTTGTGATCTTAAAATGGACCCTATGGATCGAATTGTCTCCTCAAATGTAAGAGGTTTACGCCTTTTCATATGTCGGGGTGCAAAGTTACTCGTCAGGAACAGCACGTATGTGTATATATCATAATCACAATATATTTTACCAAAGCTCATCCATCAGCAAGGGTTCGGCCGGCTTAATGGTTATAGAAGGATGATGGCAGCTGGGTGGAGAACTTGGCAGGGCGCCATGAACCGAAGGCTCAGTAGGATGGGTAGGAGCAGGGTTGAAAGGAGAAGGGTGATGACTAGGTGGAGGATGTCATGGCCTGCAAGCGAGATGACTATGAAGAGGGTTATCAGGAGGAGGTGCGGGCCTCAGGAGCTGGATTAGGATGATGGATGCGGTGGAGGTGAAGTAGGAGAGGGATGTGGTGATGGAGCAGTGGGTAAAGGGAAGGGAGGAGTCTGAAGGTGAGGAGGAATAGGAAGATGTCCAGATGAACAGGATGAATGTAAGGTCCACATTGATCCACAAGGAAAAGGAGGAGCAGGTAGAAGAGGATGACGTTGAAGAGAATTACAAAGTGGGCAAGAGAAAGAAGAGAAGCAGAGCAGGAGGAGAAGGTGGAAGGCCACCGTATCTTAGTGATGTAGTATGCTAAGTGCCTGTAAGATCTAGTTCATTGCCGACGGTATTGATGGGGCCCTGCTGGATTTGGCAGTGGCCCTATCAGGCATTCTACTTGTCCCTGAGCGAGGTTTCACTTCTTGGAGGGCAGTGTACTTAGTTTTGCCACTTGTTGAATGCAATTGTCTTGGGACTCTTGTCTTATTTTCAGGGAAAACTAATTAAGAACATGGGGAAAGTGGATGGGGGACTACAACTCTCCGGTTGATAATTTGTAATGATTGGCGGGTAATGGCCTTGCCTTATCGATAGAAACACCAAGAGGGAATAAATTCCTCACCCCAGTTCAAATGCGTCATCATCACTTGGAATGGCCTACCTAGACTTGCTTCGCTGAAGAATGCGTGTTCTTGGTTCAGTCCCAAGCTGCTGTTGGCAGAGTGCATCCCCACTGTTTTTTTTTTTTTTTTTAAACAAGTACTTTTATTCTAAAAGCTGGAAACTGTGTCCAACGTCCCTCACATCCATGGTTCTCAACTTCTCACTCAACGCCCGTCCCTGTTAAGGCGGGGAGATCCTGAGACAGCGACATTCTCTGCTTCGTGATGTTTTATCGGTTTTTCGATATCGACTTGTTTGTTGGTATTTTGTCCTGTTAGTGCCTCATCAGTGCTGAAAACTTGTCCTTTGGAAAGTGCACATCTTTGCTGTTTGTTTGAATTTTGAAATGAATTCTTAGGGGATCTGTCTGACTTCAGTGCTGAACTTTGGATTTTTGAAATGAATTCTTAGGGATCTGTCTGACATCAGTGCTGAACTTTGGATTTTTGAAATGAATTCTTAGGGATCTGTCTGACATCAGTGCTGAACTTTGGATTTGTTCATTGATCCTGCTTTGAAGGGTGCCACTGTTGTTCCCACTCCAAACAAGGACAGACAGTTCACGATCGCCATTGGCAATGTCATATATTACCTGCGTGCAATGAGCAAGGACTGCCGGCAGGTACTTGTATAATCACTTTGCAGTTCTTTAGTTTTGAAGCACAATGACGTCAATGTTATGTGGTCATGTTGGGTGACTTTTGTGCCTCACTTCATGTTCACAACTCCAGCAAAGCCCCGTGGATGTCTAGACATGTGGTTTGGAAGATCGTCTCTGTCACTAGTCTTTGAGGCTGTTGCTATTGACTTGTCTGAATCGACTGACTTGTATCTATCCACTACCTCATTGCTTCTCTCTCACGAAACCCCTCTCTCAGTTTTTTTTCTCTTTTTGTATCCTTGTTTTATGTTGATTTTCCTGGGGATGATTACCTATTAACAGCTGTTTCGGGCACTCAATGACACAGAATGCCCTCCTCTATTGACGGATCTATTCAGCGTCTATTTCTCGATTACACATTCTGGACGAGACTACTCTAGTACAAGCCCTGGTGGTTTTCACCTTGCTCGCCTTGTTTTTTTCTCTGTTTCATTTTACCTTTTCTTCACTGGTTTTGGTTGCACTGTTGCCACTGGTCTCATTGCCAGTCTGTGGGATTGTGATGCTCAGCACCATTTCATCCCTTTTGGTTGCATGTGCCGGTGAACCGTCGACAAAGCAAAGTTTAGGAATCATCATGGGAGAGAGACGCAAGATAGCACAGCAGCAAATCAGACATGGGCTGACCTGGTCATGCAGGGAGTTCTCCATACATGGAAGAAACCTCCCTGTCCATTAAGCACTGACAAAGTTGGGTGGGAGGAGGAGAAGGAATGACATCACCAAATAATTTACCTCCTCCAACTCAATTTCCTGTCCTCTTAACTCGCCTCCAAACCCGTATGACACAGATCTCAACTCAGAGGAGCTCTGCTATCAACACTACAATGTCAAATCTCTCTCTCTTTCTGAGTCATAGAGAAGAAGAAGAAGATTAAGGACGAGGGGATGCAGGAGAAAGTAACAGGAAGAAGAGAAGAACGCTCCTCTCTCTCTCTCTCTCTCTCTCTCTCTCTCTCTCTCTCTCTCTCTCTCTCTCTCTCTCTCTTAGAGGGACGAAGAAGATGGAGGAGGAGGAGATGGAGGAGAAGGGAAGAAGAAGAAGAATGGAAGCCTACTCGTTTGTCTGTGATATTGACCAGTGAAAGGCAGAACCTTGAGCCGTATGGCTCCAGCTAAGCAGACTCCTGCACTGTAACTCTACTCAGTGCTACTCTGATCTCCACTAGGATGCTTGCTTGCCAGTGGAAGCCAACTCTCCCACTCTCTCTCACCGATATTGACCAGTGAAAGGCAGAACCTTGAGCCGGTGATGCACTACAGATATTTTGAAGAAGAACACCGGCTATGGTTAGTGGCAGACCTCAAATCTATGGCACCGGGTAAGTAATCTCCTGCACTGTACCTCTACTCAGTGCTACTCTAGTCTCCCCTAAGGCAAGGCTGCTTGCTTGCCAGTCCAGCAGCTTGGTGGTGGGATTGCACGAATGAACGATCCTCCCAGCTGGGCTGGCCCTCCTTCCCAGTTCGTACTGGGCCAGACACCCTTACCTCCTGGCCTCATGCCCAGGCTGTCATATCAGACTGTGATGTGATGGCTCCGGTGCAGGCTGTGGTCCTGGCTCTCGACCAAAAGCCGAAAACGCATGGCCTTGGTTCCTGGGCATGTACCCAGCTCCAATGCGCTGGCTTGGCAGTAGGACCTGGGCCTAGAGCTGGGCTGAGCACTGCAGCCGAACGCAGGCTGGAGTGAAACTTGAAATGTTGTCCTGCAGGGGTCTGTAAAGGACAGACTTGTGCTTGTTCTGGTGCCTGTTCGGACAAAGTTTTGACGTGACATAGTGTGGACCAGGACAGCACGAATTGGCACAGGACAAAATCGAACTGACACCAGCGAAATGTGCATCAAACAACATCTCTTTCTTAAAGGTTAAAGCAGTACTCCCGTGACGTTCCCCTGGGCCCAGGAAAAAATGGGCGTGGAGTTCCGGGTCCCGTGCCATGGCCAAGCGAGGGGCGGGCCCGAAGCTAGCGGGAAAAAAAAGTGGCGGAACATTGTGGAAGAGGGGTGAGGCCGGCGAACGCAGACTGTTTTTCTTCTTCACGGGCTCAGGTCCGGTTCCAGGGCGGCCACCGCTCAGACTGCTGCAGGCGGGCGCGTGCCGACGCGGGCCACAGTATCCTGCTGGAGGAGGAGGTTGGAAGAGGGGAAGGAGGTTGCACGAGGCGGACGAGGAGGTCGGAAGAGGCGAAGGAAGAGGTTGCGAGGGGGATGAGTATGTCGCGCAAGGGGGAGGAGGAGGTCGGAAGAGGTTGGAGGAGGTCGCACGAGGGGGTAGAGGTCGGGGGAGGAGGGGGTCGTGCAAGGAGGAGGAGGTCATGCGAGGGGGGAGAGGACATCGTGGAAGGGGGAGGAGGTCGGAAGAGAGGTGAGAGGGGATCTTGCGAGGGGGATGAGGAGGTGGGAAGAGGATGCGTGAGGGGGAGGAGGAGGTCGCACAAGGAGGTTGGCGCACGAGGGGGAGGAGGAAGTCACACAAGGGAGAGGAGGAGGTAGGAAGAGGGGGAGGAGGTCGCACCAGGGGGAGGAGGGGGTCGCGCGAGGGGTAGGAGGAGGTCGCACGAGAGGGAGAAGGAGGTCGCACGAGGGGTAGGAGGTTGCACAAGGGAGAGGAGGAGGTCGGAAGAGGAGGAAGGAGTGGGTCATGCAAGGGGGAGGAGGAGATCGTGCGAGGGGGACGAGGAGGTCGCACGAGAGAATGAGAGGCTGCAGGAGGTTGTGCGGACGCTGGAAGAGGGGTGGGAGGAGGTCGCGCGAGGGGGAGGAGGAAGTCGCGCAAGGGAGAGAGGTGGTAGGAAGAGGGGGAGGAGGTCGCACTAGGGGGAGGAGGGGGTCGTGTGAGGGGTAGGAGGAGGTCGCGCGAGAGGGAGGAGGAGGTCGCACAAGGGGTAGGAGGAGGTTGCACAAGGGAGAGGAGGGGGTCGGAAGAGGAGGGGGTCGGAAGAGGAGGAAGGAGTGGGTCATGCAAGGGGGAGGAGGAGGTCGTGCGAGGGGGAGGAGGAGGTCGCACGAGGAGGACGAGATGCTGCAGGAGGTCGTGCACCGGAAGAGGGGTGGGAGGAGGTCGTGCGAGCGAGATGAGGAGGTCGGAAGAGGACGTGTGAGGGGGAGGAGGTGGTCGCGCAGGGAGGAGGGGGAGCTGGAAGAGTTCGGAAGAGGTGCGAGAAGGTCGCCCGAGGGGGAGGAGGGGGTCGCGCGAGGGGTAGGAGGTTGCGCGAGGGGGAGGCAGAAGTCGCGCGAGGGGGAGGAGGTCGCACAAGGGAGAGGAGGTCGGAAGAGGAGGGAGTGGGTCATGCAAGGGGGAGGAGGAGGTCGTGCGAGGGGGAGGAGGAGGTCGCACAAGGAGGACGAGAGGCTGCAGGAGGTCGTGTGGACCTCGGAAGAGGGGTGGGAGAAGATCGTGCGAGGATGAGGATGTCGGAAGAGGACGTGTGAGGGGTAGGAGGTGGTCGCGCAAGGAGGAGGAGGATCTGGAAGAGGTCGGAAGAGAGTTGCAAGAAGGTCGCCCGAGCGGGAGAAGGAGGTTGGAAGATGATGTGCGAGGGGGCAGAGCAGGTCGCACAAGGACGGGGAGGAGGTCGCACGAGGGGGAGGAGGAGGTCACACAGGGGGAGGAGGAGGTCAAACAAGGGGGAGGAGGAGG